TGGGGCGGAACAACAACAGGTTGAAAGAACCCCTTGGGAATAATTTCATGATCACCAGCAGACAAAATAATATTCAGCGCCACTGGCAGATTCCTCAGCAGAGCTCATGGGAAAACACAGGCTGTGAATTTGGGAGACCTAAGGATTAGGGAAATTGGGGTGCCTGTGTGTGTACACCTCCGGGAGGATTTATCAAGCCTCGCCCCCCAGATCTGCACTCCTGGAAAACTCTGAATCATACTTATAACACGGGATAAATTGGAGTTTTGCCTATATTTACTTTGTCTCATAGATACTATCAGAGAAGCCGGGTTAGATTGGAAGTTCAGGGTGGCTACAATGGAAAACTGAGGACAGGAATGACGGGCTTATTTTATAAAGCTGTACCGGAAGAGGAAGGCGAGGGCTGGTTTGAGTTGGCTCCAGCAGGGATGGAACAGAACGGAAAGACAGTGCAAGGTAGCTGTCAGACTAGGATCCGGGACTAGGTTCGAATCCCTTCCCTGCCGTGGAAGCTTGCTGGGTGACCTTGGGCCAGTCACACACTCACTCTCACAGGGCTGTTGTGAGGATCAAATGGGGGGCGGGGGAACAATGCGAGCGGATTTGGGTTTCCACTGAGGAAAAGGTGGGTTATGAATAAAGTAAATGAATAAAAAAGGCTTACGAGGAGAGCTCCGGCTAGCCCAATCTGGTCAGATCTCAGAAGCTAAGCAGGGTTGGTCCTGTGGATGGGAGACCACCAAGGCAGTCCGGGGTCGCTGTGCAGAGGCAGGCAGTGGCAAACCACCCCTGAGCGTCTCTTGCCTTGAAAACGCTATGGGGTTGCCATAAGTGGACTGCAACTTGACAGTGCAAACACACACACACACACAAACCCCAGATAGGGAGGGGAACAAGACACATAAAAGCATTCAGATCAGACGCCCGTTCTGCAGAGGAGCTCCCTCTTCCTCCTCTCAGTGAGGAGGACTCTGTGGTGGAGGGCAAAGAAGGTACCTGCCCCAAAGTCACCCATCGGCCTTCACAGTCAAGTGGGGATTTCAGCCTGGATCTCCCCCAATACACCATGTTAGCACACTCGCTCTCTCTCTTTCCTCTCTCCTTCTCTCTCAGGCTTGCAGTGTTAAGCTTTCCTTGTGATGGGGGGGGGGAAGGGGAGGAACAGTCCTATCTTATCTGGCCCCTTCAAAACTCTCCCGCTTGATATTTAAGAGAGTGAGATGTTTAGGGATCCGCTGCTTCCTTCCTTGCCATTCATAAAGGTCGCGTCTCGGAAGGAGCGCGTTCTCCGATAAGATGCACTCGCTCTCCCTCGGGGGAGCAACGGCAATAAGCTGTGGATTTAAGCCCCCTTGCCGGCGCTGTGGCGTAGGGGCACTTGCGACAGCAAACCGACAGAGAGCCTCAAAGAGAACATGGGAGACGCTCGGAGCCCTTTCTGAAGTTGCAGTAATGGTATTTGGCGCCGATCTTTCGAGAGTTCAGAAACACTTCATGTGCATTCCTTTTAATGGTTTTCGCTACAGATTTAGGTCCACCTTTATTCCTCCAACTTACAGATTGGGGAAGAGGTGCAAAGGATTAGAGAACTGCAGCTTGTTTTTGAGAGCAGTAGAACAATGAAAGGGAATGAGCTGAAGGGGAGAGCTGCACGGGGGAGAAAAGGTGTTGCTGGCGGTGGGGGGAGGGACGACGACAACAAAATTTTAGGTTAACACGAGGGCAGCAGAAAAGTAAAGTGATGCAAGGGATTGGGGGAGGAGGGAAAGTCCTCCCCTCCCACCACAAGTGCTTCAGTCAAGGCTTTTTAAGGGCGTTTGCACAAAGAACAAACAAACACTGAAGCGATACGTTCCGCGCTAGGAAAGATGCTTCATGAACAACGGGGCTGTCCAGAAGGTGCTTCCCTGCCTTCTCTGCAAGGGTCATAAAAGTCATGTGTGACCCGAAGGGCTTTGCCCTCTGCAGACAGCCATCCGCCGGTTGTCCCTGGCCTGAAAGATGCCCGCCTAGCCTCAACCAGGGCCAGGCTTCCTCGGCCCTGGCCCCAGCCTGGTGGAGCGTGCTTCCAATTGAGATCAGGGCCCTGTGAGACCGGTTACGGTTTCGCAGGGCCTGCAAAATGGAGCTGTTCTGCCAGGCTTCTGGTTGAGGCCGTGGGCCTCTACCGGCTGGCCTCCCTATTGCTGCTGCATGGCACCGTTATGGCTTGCCACACTGGCCCACTCATTTCCCGGCTGTAAGAACTGAAACTGAATATACTGCACTGCCCACTTTAAATGCTGTAAACTGGTTGTATTGTATTGCTTAATATTGATATTTATTATCTGACTGAATTATCCCAAGATTGTATTGAATTTATTGTTGTGAGCCGCCCTGAGCTCGCTTGCGGGAAGGGTGGGATATAAATCAAAATAATAAAGTAAAATAAAAGGGGGGGGGGAGTCCTCCCCCCATCCCCAGGTCTCAAATCAGGAGCCCACTAAAGGTTGTAATCTGCGTTCAGCTCAAGTCCTTCAAAGCAGCTCCAGGTGGGGACACTGTGCCTAAGAAACACAAGTGAAGTATGTGCTTTGCAGAATAGTCCTGTTAACAACGGGGATGCTGTATTCTGGACTGGACGAAATTTCCAAACAGCAGCCCCACACTTCGCTTTCCTCGTAGTTCAAGGGTAAAATGGACCAAGTAACAGGTGTGCTTGTTCACCTGGGCCAGCTGAACTGTTTTAGCTAGCCTGTGCCAAGAGATGCTACTTCTGCTGACATTTTGATTGTCAAAGTTATATCTGACTCCCTTATCTAATGCAGAGATTAAGATTATGTGCACCAGGCAAACATCCAAGATATTTAACACTTAAGCTTTGCCAACAATGCTCAAAAGAGTTAGTTACTTGCTTGCCTACCCAGATGAACCTCGTTACCTGTTTATGGCACAAGTGACAAAAAAGAAGGGGATAGAGAAGAACAGACTCCGCAGTTACATAAGCATCAGAGCCTAGAGACAAGTCTTCCAGATAAGCAGAGGCTTGTAAGCCTGATTTTTGGTGGTAGAGGAAAAGGCTGTCAAGCTGCAGCTGAATTATGGAAGCCTGTTGCAAGGCAAGAGACATTCAAAGGTGTCTTGCCATTGCCCGGCTCTGCGTAGCAACCCCGGACTTCCTTGATGGTTTCCCATTAAAGCACTAACCAAGACTGACCCTGCTTAGCTCTCAAGTTCTGATGAGATCGGGCTAACCTGGGCCATCCAGGTCCTTAGAATCATGCAAGTATCATGCAAGTTTTGCTGGTCCTCCCCCCACTTCTCCTTAACTATTTTACAAGTCATAATTTCCCTTCTCCAAAAAGCCACACACACACACACACACACCCAACTGACTCTTGCTCTGGTAACACTAAACAAGCACAAAGAAGAGCAGTCCAAGTGACTGTGCAACATTCTCTCCAATACCCATTCCAACAGCACGAGTCTGCTTCTGCAGCTTTAAGAACACACCCGGGAGAAGATGACGCAGTCCAAGTGACTGTGCAACATTCTCTCGAATACCCATTCCAAACTGCACGAGTCAGCTTCTGCAGCTTTAAGAACACACCCAGGAGAAGAGATTTGATCTGCGTTGGCTGGGCACCAAGAACAGACTTCCTTCCCACCCTTTCTGATAGACAGAAGTGTCCTGGGAAATATGAAAGCTTGCCAAATCTCCTATTAGGAAATTTAGGTCTGAAGGTCCCTGGAACTGTTCAAGCCTTTATCAGGAGGTATTTGGGATAGGGAGAATTCGGCAATGAAACCATGATCGGCAACACGCTTGGTTTTCAAGGAAAATGCTGTGTTTGGAAATATGCCTGCTATAGTGATTTTACACAAAGTGATTTTACACTAAGGTCCTTTCCGCATTTGCCCGCCACTCTGGATTTTCTCTGTGTTCAAGTCGAGGCAATTTAAGGGCATTTGCTCCACATTTCCTCAACACTGAGGGAAAGGTGCAGCTCAAAAACTTCATTCAGATACCCTGGGGGCAACGCTGTACTGACTGCAAAGCCACCCCTGAGCGGCCATAAATCTATGCAGAAGGTACCAAAAAAACCCCCCAGATGATCAAAGGAAGTGGCAGCAAGCAATGCAGAGGGGAATTTCTGTTCCAACATGGGTTTCCTAAAACAATGCAGAATTGCCCTAAGTGATTCAGTTAATTTAATGTGACCTGGCTGTGTCTAGTCTTTAGTTTAGTCTTTGCCCTCCTTGTACACAGCAGCCTCATCTGAGGGGGCAAGCCTGCAGTGGTTGTTCAGAAATTGCTTTCTGGCCACACAGTACCAGTCCTCCTGCGGCGGCACCTGCTCTGGGAATTACCGCATTACGGCAAGCAGGTCAGAGCTGCTTTGAGACCATTCCTTGGATGCTGTCATCCTCAAAGTGAGCCAATCACATACAGTGGCTCACTACGCCCAATCAGGTAGCCACTATGGAGCCTGCTGATGGCCGAAACATGGAGCAATTAACTCCAACGGTCCAGCAAACCCTCAACGGCTCTCAAAATGGCTTGCCACGGCCAAAACCAGGGAGCTGTCTTTAAAGCAGCTTTGCCCGGTAACTTTAAGCTGTGCACCGGCTTCTCAGTTGTACTGGGAGGAAGGGGGAGATGGTGCCAGTGGAAAATCTCCAGCGATGGCTGCAATTCATAGATAGGACAGCAGGCTGCGCTAATATGGCCAAAAGGAAGCTTTAGACTCCAGCAGCACGTTTTTTGTTCATTTTCTAAACAGTAGCTGTATGCGCGCTTTACAGGAAGGATTTCTTCCCCTATCCAGTTTAGGGTTCAAAATGACCCCATAGAGACACACCAGCTGTCTGACCCAGTCTTGCCCTGAATTCTGTCACCCCGTTCCGCATCGCTTCAGGGTCCTTTCTTTTATTGCTTATACTGCATCTCATTCCTCAAGCCAACCCTGCTTGTCCGGTACAGATGGAGGGGGAGGGACCTGTGGCACTGGCTCCTCCCACACAGCCTGGGTCTTTCAACATCAGCCAAGCCGTGTGGGGACGAGCCACATGCATTACGTGCGAAGGGGACTTGAGGAATAGCTTGTTGAGCATGAGCAAAACCCAAAATGGTAGCTGAAAAGAGGTACTTACAGCCGCAGCTCCTCAAAAGACTTCACAGAGTAGAGGGGCGAGTTGGGATCCCTCTGCAGTACCTCCACTTGGTTTGTGTTGTCCACCAGGTTGCTGCGGATCAACTTGTTCAACAGCGACTGGGCCGCTCTGTCCTCTGGCGGGAGGAAGGTGCAAAACAAGCAAGGAAAACAAACACCACTTTCAGCTTTATCACAAGAGTTAAAAAATGCTGCTGAAAGCAGGAGGTGCACGGAGCTTAACTGCACAGCCAAGAAGCTGGTGATGCCTGCTGTACTCTTCACTGTAGATGGGGGGGGGGATTATACCCCGCCTTTCACTCAGAGTGGCTTACAATCACCTTTCCCTTCCCCTCCCCACAACAGACACTCTGTGGGGTAGGTGGGGCTGAGAGAGCTCTTTCAAGCACTGCTTTTAAGAGAAAAGCTCTGAGAGAACTGGGACTGGCCCAAGGTCACCCAGCTGGCTGCATGTGGCGGAGTGGGGAATCAAACCCACTTCTCCCAGATTACAGAGTCCACGCTCCTAACCACTACACCAAACTGACCCTGGCCTCTCCCTAGAAAAACAGAAGGGCTGTGCGATTTTTACTTGGTTTTTTGTTCTGGTGCTTGAGAGTAGAACCGACAAATCGAAAAGCTGCTGGCACTGAAGATGGAACACTGGGTGGGCTTTCTTCTGCCTCCAGACATAACAAAGCTGAGTACTGTGCTGCCCGGGCCTGGCAAGAACAGGAGGCTAGGGTCTAAGAGCATGACACACCTATTTGCAGGAGTGCCTTCTTTCCATGAGTTTTCAGTTGTCACTGAGAAACGCTTGCTCTCCTTAGCTGCCTAGGGAGGTGGTGAGCTCCCCCTCACTGGCAGTCTTTAAGCAGCGGCTGGACAAACACTTGTCAGGGATACTCTAGGCTGATCCTGCACTGAGCAGGGGGTTGGACTAGATGGCCTGTCTGCCCCTTCCAACTCTGTGATTCTACCATTCCCCCCACCACCACAACCCGTAGCTGAGCATTAAATCACCCTGAGACTCCAGATGAAGGGTTCCTCCAGTCCTGCTTCCACCAGGGATCAAATGGATGCAGAGGCCATCCACTGCTGTTTGCCCCCAATGTCTTGTTTTCCGAGATACACTGCCTCCGCAAATGGAGGCACCATCTAGTTATCACTGACAACCGATACATGTTCTCCCCTACGAATCTGTCTAATCTTCTTAGAAGCCATTTAAGCCAGCGGTAATCACTCAGTCCCACAAGTTACATTATGCAACTGCATTAAGGGAAGAAGCTTATTGTGTTGTGCTAAACAGGACTGTGGGACCCCTCCTTTGGTCCATTCCCAGCCACCAGGTGAAACGCTTTGATATTTGCAACAGCTTATATTTGCAACATACTTTGTTCAACTGATTAGTCTTTCAAACAGGGGAACCGTATTGTTTTCTTGCGCATTACCCTGGGTATGCTCAGTAGCCAGGCAATTTAGAACGTTTAGGAAATAAAAGCCCCAAATAAAAACAAGTGCCTGGTTATTATCAGGAGCCGAGCAGAGCATGCATATTACTCCCAATCTGCAGTCACTCCGCTGGCTGCCCATCAGTTACCGGGCTCAATTCAAGGAGCTGGCGGTCACACAAAAAGCCTTTTATGGCCTTGGACCCTCATAAATGCAGGACTGCTCCCCCCCCCCCATCCTCCATGGCTCCAGGCCCACTAACAGAGATCCTTTTTAACTGGAGAAGCCTAGAACCTGGCATGTGCTTTAAGCCTGGAGTAACAAGCCCTTCCCGAAGTAGTCAGTGTTAAGTGGTTAAGATGCTGAACTGCAGGCTGTGGAAGGTCAGTAGTTCAGCAGTTTGAGACCCAGGTGCCGCATGATGGGGTGAGCTCCCATCTCTAGTTCCAGCTCCTGCCAACCTAGCAGTTCGAAAGCAAGAAATTGCTAGTAGATAAATAGGTACTGCTTTGGTTCCGCGCACCTTGGTGTTTAGTCATGCCGGCCACATGACCACGGAAACGTCTTCGGACAGCGCTGGCTCTTTGGCTTTGAAACGGAGATGAGCACCGCAACCCTAGAGTCGGATTCGACTGGCTTTCGAGCAAAGGAACCTTTACCTTTACCTTTTTAACAAGCCCTTCCTGAATTAGCCAGAACATTTTTTGTTTCACTTTTTGATGATGAGAACTTACCTTTTCCCTCGTCTTCTGACTTCTCTGTATTATCTTCTGTCTTAACAGCACCTGTCATTTAGACAAATGGTGATTAGAACACAGATCCCCTGAACGTAACAATTGTTCATAACGTGACACTGTTCTGCCAGATAGTTCAGAAAAACATTTCACACCACCTGTTCCATGTGCATCTTATGCTGCGGAGCCATAGCACCAGTTATGCAACTGTACTGGCACTACTCCATAACTAAGCAGACCAGAGGCAGCCCACAGACTTCTCCCTGCCCACCTTTAGTCCAGTTTCCCCAAACCTTTATTGAAGTAAAATAAGCACAGGTTTGCTTTTCTAAAGTGTTTTATTTTACTGAGTGTGAGAGAGTCTTACAGTTGTGCGTACTTCACAGAACATTCTGTTTTGGTCTGCCATGCACAAAGCCACTTTTAAAATTCTTTTTTACAGGTCAGGACATTTTTTGTTTGTTTTGCTCTTTGATGCTTAGAACATACCTTTCCCCTCCTCTTCTGTCTTCTCTGCATTATATTCTGTCTTAACAGCACCTGTTGTTTGGGCATACAGTGATTATAACATAGTACACTGATCGTTAACAGTCATTCATAACATGACACTGTTCACCTTTAAAATTCTTTTTTACAGGTCAGGACATTTTTTGTTTGTTTGTTTTGCTCTTTGATGTTTAGAACATACCTTTCCCCTCCTCTTCTGTCTTCTCTGCATTATAGTCTGTCTTAACAGCACCTGTTGTTTGGACATACAGTGATTATAACATAGTACACTGAATGTTAACAGTCGTTCATAACATGACGCTGTTCACCTTTAAAATTCTTTTTAAAAGGAAAACTGAAACAGCCAGATCAAAATTCACTGGGGAGTGGGGACTGATGCAGCAAAACAGAGATTTGTCCTCTCACTACAGAAAGTGACCGTCCCACCTCCGGTGCTCCAACTAACTTGCTGTGCTGATCTGTGGCTGTCAGCTGGAAGTGCATCACACCCACATGTTGTATTCAATAGTGGCACAACTTGCCTTATGGCCCTACTTTTAGCATTTCCCCCCCTACTCTGTGTCTAGGCATGCCCAACCCACTGAGATTACCATTTGGCTCACCAAAGTTTATATACTTGCTAGATTTTAAGCAACACGCGACTTAGCACACAACACACACCCCCAAGCAACTCTGGAGTTCTTATAATAACCTACATGAAAATAACCAACATGAAATATAATAATTCAACATGAAAAGTGACACTGTTAAAACCAAACTAGTGACCAAAATAATGCCAAACAGCACCACAGAGGAAGGGCCTTGGGACTCAATGCAAGTTGTGAGCAAGCGATATGGCTACTGCATAAAGTAGATTGCTCTGGTGCCATCCTTCCTGAGCTAAGGCAAAAATGTGTGAGCCGGAGGCTAAAAAACTGTGAGCTAGCTCACACTAACTCAGCTTAGAGGGAACACTGACTGGTACCATAGGGAACAGCTTCAGAGGGCCAGACCATTCTAATAGCCATGGTTATTATACTCACCATTGGATTCTGGTTTGGGTCTCTCCTTCAGATGCAGGTTACTCAACTAAAGAGCATGCAAAGAGAAAATAAGAAGAGTCACTCAAGATCTACAGCAGCTACTTTTAAAGAAACTTCTTCTACTTAGCCGAGCAAACCCCTTTCCAGGAAATGTGATTAAAAGGGTTACCAGCAATAGTTTTATGATATTATGGCTATTAGCCACAAGGTATAGATAGGGGCTCTGGGGCAAGTGATGCTCTGTCTTCTTGGTGCTTAGGGGGGGTCACTAGTGGACTTCCTGATGGCACCTGGTATTTCTGGCCACTGTGTGATACAGAGTGTTGGGCTGGATGGGCCTTTGGCCTGATCCAACACTGGCGTCTCTTATGTTCTTATGTTTCAGGTGCTCAAAATACTTTCTCTGTAGCCCTTACAACAGCCCCACAAACCTGGGAGACAGAGGCTTAGAGGGGGGACTGTTTGCTGCGGTTTCGCCTTCCTTGTCCACAGCTTAAACACTGTGGTGCACGAATTCTCGGCGTTTGTAGTCTTACGCAGAACAGTAGAGCACGTTCTACGGCAATTCTTTTTAAAAGGAAGACTGAAGCAGCCAGATCAAAATTCAGCTTGTGGGATTTGGGAGACCCACTTCAAATCCCCACTTGGCCATGCTAGTGACTTGGAGCCGGTGACACTCTCTCAGCCTAACCTGCCTTATGCGTGATATCTTTGCTCTGTCAGGTTCTTGTGTGTGTGTGTGTGCGCAGGCTACAGGCTTATATTAGAACCCCGAGGTTCAGCATTTTGTCTACAAGGCTGCTAGGGTTCAAGTTCACAAGCCAAACTCAAAATATATGGCAGGTATGCTCATGCGGAAGTCTTCAGCCTTTCTAGTACTCAGACTCATCTTTAATTCTTAGCCAGTAGCAGGGAGCCCAAGTGGCAAGCATGTGACATCAGAAGTGACTCGACAGAAGAGGAGGAGCGAACGGTCTCTCTGAGTGACTAAACCTTGCTGTCCCAGCTGCTCCTATCAGCATGCAGGCATGGCATCCTTACTCTTCAATCAAGGACCTTAGCAACAGGTCCTTCCAAATAGCAACAACACCACCATAGCAGCTCTCTAGGGCCCCGTGACCCACCTGAGGGTCGCAACCTTGGGCTGAAGCATTAGAAGGAAGCATAATCACGTTTTCCCTTCTTCACAAGTGCCAGCGCAGTGTTTAGAGCAGAGGTGTCAAACTCATTTATTAAGAGGGCCGGATCGGACATAAATGTCACTTTGGTGGGCCGGGCCATGCCTGCCATAAAACATAACACAAGGTACCGGAGATATAAATTTTATAAACATGCTTTCAGATGCCAAATGGCAATAGCAGGTGAATGACAATAGCAAGCTTGATTGGATTAGGTGTGATATGCCAAGGAGTAGTAGGCGTGGAGATACCAGCATTGGTGATGAGACAAGAAATCTAGGTCTCAGTTCCGTCCAGGAGGATTCAGTCCAGGAGGATGCAAAGAATAAATAGACATAAGTATGATATTAGAAACCCCAGCATTCAGTTGCTGACCTAAGAGTAGCAGTGCTCTTACAAAGGAATTTCAAAGGGAATTTCAAAGGGAAATTAGAGACTGCTGAATTGCAATTGGTAATGAAGCTCAAGACAATGCACCCTCCACGACTGAATTGAGACCTAGTTTTCCTGTCTCATTACCAATGTGTGCTGTTATCATTTGGCATCTGAAATCACTCCACTCCCAAGATATAAGGATTAGTCCAAGTGTTCTAATTCCTAACCAGTATTTTTTTTGAAAGCAAATAAAATGCAGATAGGGACAGAGAAATCCAATTTTTTAAAAAAAAACCTTCTCAGAATAAGCCAAAATAATTTCCTCAATGTAAATTGTGCTTGTCAGAATCCATCCATCCACCCATTCTCCCTCCGAAGATGTCTGCTTGCACACTAAAGCTTATACCTGGAATAAAACGTTTTTCACCTTAAAGCTGCCACGGGACTCCAACTTTGTTTTCTCTCGCTCCCTCTCCTCTCCCTCCCTTCCCAAAAAAGGAGGAGTAACCCCAGAGAAGGAAGCAGAAGCTATGTGTGTCTGTGTGTGAGTGAGAGAGGCTTCTCTTTGCATCTACTCCCCAGGAAGTAGGAAGCAGCCACTGAGGGAGCTGTGAGGGGAGTAGGGAGGCAAGAGGCATGAAACAGGAAGCAAAGAGTCACTGAGGGAGCTGGGGGGAAAAGGATGTTATGGTGCAGCTGCAGTAGCATCCCTGGAAAAGGAAGAAGGAAGTTGCTCGTGGGCCGGATCTTAATCCTGTGGGGGGCAGATCCGGCCCATGGGCCGCATGTTTGACACTCCTAGTTTAGAGTGAGGGACTTGGGAGACCAAGCTTCAGATCTCCATTTGGCCATGCTAGGGACTTTGGCCTAGTCATTCTCTCTCAGCCTAACCTACTTCACAGGGCTGTTGTGAGGACAGGATGGAGGTAACTATGCACGCTGCCCCTAGCTCTCTGGAGGAAGATTAGAATTGAAATGAGGGAAAGGGAGACTCCATTCAAACCAGTAGCTTGAAAAAAACACTATTAATAACAGCTCAGACTCTGGCATTATATTTCTGTGTTTACTACTTCATCATTCAAATGCAGCTTCTCTTAGAACGTGAGAATCACACCAAAAGTCCACCCAGTTCGGCATTTTGTTACCTGCAGTGGCCAACCAGGTGCCTCTTACAGAGACGGCAGTCATCTGCCCCCAGCATCTAGTAAAAGCCGAGTGATGTGGGATTTCCAGAAAGCACCAAATTAGAAATTATTCCAATACCCAAGGTGATCAGAATTGGATTCTGCACATTTGTTTTGCTTATATTTAGTATGCAAAACCCAAAAGAGCACCAAATTAATCTAATCCGCTGTAGAAATAATGTCAAGTTTTGTTTGTTTGTTTTTCTGATAGCCAAACACCAAAATGAAATAATGTGATTCAGAATGTAGGTATTATGAGAGTTTGTAGTGCTTAATTTGATTTTCATACTTAATGCACAAATACAGAATGTTAAAATGTAGTGACAACTCATAAAACTGACTATTCATATCAGTTTCTAATTATCCAAATCCACACAAGAAATCCCATCTACATCCATAATATATGCCGCTTCTGGTCTTCATTCAAAACTTTTTGTGTACTTATAATTTTTTGGTATGCTGCCAGTTTTACCATGTCAATTATTTTCCAAAGTAGCCTCTGGGGAGGGGTATTTTTGCCCTTCCAAACTATTGTGACTATTTTTGTTTCTTGCTGCTGATTACATAGTTTATACCACTAAAACAATTTTCTCTGATGTTTAGTGATATGCAAAATTCTGAACCTTTGTTGAACAGAAGCTATGATTCTTCCTTTGAAGAAGTTTGCTGAAAACCATTTTCCTCCACTGGGTCAGACACTTTGGCCTCCACATTCAAAACAGAATCTTTTTGTACATGTGAACTAGCCAATTTTTCAAAAATTTGTATATTTATATACAACACCCTGCAAAATCAAGAACAAAGCAGTTTACACACACACACGCACACAAAACATGCCAGACCTAAAACAATATGAAAACATTGACTCCAAAATAACACCAAGTTCTAAAAAACCCAACCTACGAAGTAAGACAAGCACTAAAATGCTTAAAACATTTCAGAAACAGGACTCTGGCAAATAGCAGCAAATTGGCATACAGATAATAAAAGAGTTTAACAACAGATATGAGAATTATGAGTCTAGTGGCACCTTTAGGACCAACAAAGTTTAATTTCTGGGTATAAGTGAGAACTGAATGACTTAGCGTGTGTAGGGAGATAAGAAGTCGAAACTAGGTTTGAGTCACCATTGAACGTTTCAATTCAGCAAAGAAAACATTGCTAAGTAAGAGAACAGGATTCACCGGGTGCCGCAAGATGGGGTGAGCTGAAGCTGGCATCCATCACATTTTACCCAAATAGATTTAAAGAGCGACCTTCACGGTTTTGCTCATTACTCGTGCATAGTCTAAATCAGGATCTGGTTGTGGTTTAGAATTTATCTGCCTCTTACATTGTTATCCTCCAAGGCATTCCAGGCAGCAAACATGGTTCTAGTCTCCTCATTTGCTCCTCATAACAACCTTTTGAGGTAGGTTAGACTGAGAGAGAATGCAAGCTTCATCATAACAGAGTGAAGATTTGAACCTGGATCGCCCTGATCTTACCTGGACACTTTAACCACCATACAAAGTCTGTGGAAAGAAACAAATCCTAATGTCTTGAATTACAGGATCACAGAGTTGGAAGGGACCTCCAGGGTCATCTAGTCCAACCCTCTGCACAATGCAGGAAATTCACAAATACCTTCCCTCCCACCCCCAGTGGGCATGCTGTTCCATGCTCAGAATATGACAAAAACCCTCCAGGATCCCTGACCAAACTGGCCTGGAGAAAAATTGCTTCCTGAACCCAACAAGGCAATCAGCATTTCCCTGGGTGTGTAAGAAAGTGCCACAAGAACTAAGCACTGATGCAACCCTTCCTGCCCTCCCTCTCACGATCTGCCCAAGAATGTTAAGAAGCACCAGAAGAAATCATAATAATTTTGGTTAATCCAGTTTTTTTTTCTTAAACAAGAAAGTGTGATCTTGGCTCTGTGCATGCCAGAATGAAGCCTGTGAGCTACAGGATTTCAGACTCATCCACTGTTTGTCTCATCTGAACGGTTTCTCAGTTCATGGGAAATCATTATCCCAGCCACACTGTAGAGATTTCGGTATAATATGAACAGATTGTATTCAGAATGAACTACAACATGGCAAAGTATCACCAGCTCTGAAGGAACCTCCTAGAATGGTATGATCCAGAACTGGATCAAGACACAGCAGGAGAACAGCTACAAGAGTAAAGATTGAAATATATGGAGGGATGAACAGGGCTCACTTTATACCCCACAGAGGTCCCTCCCTGCCCCAAATACCCAAACTCATCCACTGTTTGTCTCATCTGAACGGCTTCTCAGTTCATGGGAAACCATTATCCCAGCCACACTGTAGGGATTTCGGTATAACATGAACAGATTGTATTCAGAATGAACCACAACATGGCAAAGTATCACCAGCTCTGAAGGAAACTCCTAGAATGGCATGATCCAGAACTGGATCAAGACACAGCAGGAGAACAGCTACAAGAGTAAAGATTGAAATATATGGAAGGATGAAAAGGGCTCACTTTATACCCCACAGAGGTCCCTCCCTGCCCCAAATACCCAAACATGCTGGGAATAATGTCACATTATATGACAGATGCAAAAGGTCACATCACATAAAAGATGAAATAAAAAAGCTTTATGCAAATGTGAAGGTCAAAAAGATAAAGAGTGAGGAATACGTCAATTGCTCAATTATCACATCACATATTCTTCAGTGCTGCTCTTTAGTGCTCCAAAGCATCGGGTTCCTTGGAAGGGAACATGAAAGAGCACTGAAGTGTTCTTTTTATCTCCGCACAAAGGCCAGGTGGAAATCTCTCCCTGCTCTTTCACAGCACTGCAACAAAGGGCCATCTTTGCAGAAAAAATGAAACTGATGCAAGACTACGGACACTGTGTAATTTGCATGTTCACATTTTCTCATCATTAATTTTCACCTGGGACTTACAACCCGAACCACGAAAGAAGTAAAACATCCTGCAAGTAAGTCAACACTTGTACTGTGGGAGGGTCTGCATATGCAACTTCAAAGGGACGGTTAATTAAGAAACAGTTTCCTAAACTACGAACATAAGCTTTGCCTTCATGCCCACTAATCTACCTATCCCAGCATTTTCTATATCCACAGGTGGCATCCTCCCAAATGCCTCAGGGAGCCACACTGCTTGAAATTGTTTTAAACCGGAATTGGCATGGTCTGGAGACTCTGCTCTGCTGGAGACTCTGGAAAACCACTGGCCTAGGTGGTCCAAGGGTCTGACTTAGCAAAGGCAATTTTGTGTGGTCACACTCTTCCCTAGAAGGCAACCCAGGAATGGCTGTCCTATTCTGGGGAAAATGGCACCCTTTTGGCCACCCAGACTGTAAGAAATATCTAAGGTATCCTAGTCATTTCTGTTCCACCCCCAGCTTGTCAGGATACTTTATTATATGTAGAAACATGCAACTGACCACTGTACATAGGTATGCCAGATCTGGGTTGCGAAATACCTGGAGATTTGGGGAGTGGAGCCTGAGTAGGGCAACGCTTGGGGATGGGAGGGACTTCAGTGGGGTGTAATGCAATAGACTCCACCTTACAAACTGTTCTTTTTGTCAAGGTGAACTGATATGTGTCACCTGGAGTTCAGCTGTAATCCCAGGAGACCTCCTGCTACCACCCGGAGGTTGGCAACACTAATTGTACAGTATGTCCATGAAGTGCCAAAACACCCTTATGCATAGGCCATTCCTTTTTTTTTAATCATCCAAGGAACCAAATATAGTGATATCGAGATAGTTTAAAGTATTTATAATTCGCTTCTGTCCCCCAAAGTGGTTCACAACCAAGGGTCAAACACTTGATAACAACAGCCCTGTGAGGTAGGCTAAGCCAGAGAGGGGTTAGCTCAAGGTCAAGCAGCGGGGAATCCAACCCGGGTCTTCCCAGTGCACGTCCAGCATCCTAACCACTACGCAGCACTGCCTATCCAAGGGGTGGGGGGGCCCAACGTCTTTCCACGGGGCATGCCCCCCCTCCCCACACAGAGTCACTCCCATGAAGCACCGCGCCCACCCCTCGGCCCCTCACTCAAAGAACGCCGACACCTCCCCGTTCTGAGCCACCACTCCCCACCCCATCCCCGGCAGCACCGCTACGCTGCCGCCCCTCACCGACTCCGCGGCCGCTTCCTGCTCGTCCACCGCCAGGGCCCAGGAGTCCGTCGCCATGCTTCGTGAGGGGGAGGAAGGGGCGGGAAGGAAAGAGGGAGCGGGTAAGGCCGGACACGCACCGCCACCCGCAATGGCGCCGTTGGAAGGGACTGCGCAGATGCAAGAGAAAGCCGTGAGCCAGACGGGGTGCGGTTTTTAAAGGCACCCGTCCGGGAAACGCCACCCCCAGCGCTGCAGTTCCGGAAAATGCAAGTTCCTCCTCCCCCTGGCTGGCCTGGAAGGTTTGTTAGTGGCTCTCCAAAAAAAAAAAAAAAAAAAAAAAAAAAAAGGCACTCAGGAGGGCTTCTCTCAGCTTCTAGTCCTTCTTCCCAGTCCCAAAACGTTGGTTTTCATTTTCCCTTACGCAATTACCGTTAAGATTTAAGGATTACCAACTCCACTTTGGGAAATTCCTGGAGATTTGGGGGTAGCGCTAGGGGTAGGCAAGAGTGTAGGGAGGGGACAGAGCTCAGTGGGATTGTAAGCAGTCAGCCCCCAGGACCTGCCCATTTCCTCAAGGGAACTGAATCGATGAAGTCTGGAGATCAGTTGTAAATTTGGGAGAATAACCTAACTGGGGGTCTGCAACCCTGTGAGGGTCTCTGGATCCTTCCAGTAGTTGAATGTATGTATATTTGCTGATGAACTATCTGGAATTCACATGAACACGAATGTTTTAGCTGAATAGCCAATGGGAGCAGTTAGTTCACTATGAAGTTTTTAGCTCAGCCTTCCTACAAGAAGCTTACTGCTATGTATTGGGACTCAACCGTTCCAGGTGTGTCACACCATAGACTGGCTGAGCATGGAGCACAAGAACAATAGCCTACTAGGACTCTGGAAGTAACCAATCAAGTAGTAATATTATGTAAGTAGACTATCATTGGGAGTGGGGTGTGTTTGGGGTGTGGCAATTGCATGCTATTTAACAGAGCTGCAGCTCTGGGGTCTTGTCTTGCTCTTGCTGAAATCACAAAGTTGAGCTGATCGCTAGCCTCGAGCCTGCTCATCCATGGAACCCACTATTTAACACTTACTTAGGGAGCAAACCTAAGACGGTCTCCTTGGCAGTAAGTCCCATTTTATTCGTCAGGGCTTACTCCCACAAAAGTCATTCCCCCTCTTGTGCCACCCTTATGCAGTCCAGTGGTCTCCCATCTCTACACTGATGCTAAAACCGTGCATGCATTTGCATAATACAGTTGACATGCATACTTTTTGCAGCAGAGCCAATAGAGGCTACATGGTTGGTTTGAGGACACAAAAATGTAAGACAGAACCTCTGTTCCTGATTGTGTTTGCCCAGGCCAATTTGAGAAAACACACAAAAGCAGTCCTGTAGAGTTGGAAATCAAAAAAATTAATTTATTAATTAATAAGGAAGAATACAGATTCAAGGGTTTTGGAACCCTGAATACCCATCAGATTCTTCAAGTGTGACAATGGGTGAAATAGCATTTTATACTTCACATTACATCAGAGAAATAAAACAGAATTATTGGTTCCATCAAACATTGTCAAATTTCATCACCTATTTCC